TCACCTTGCAGGGGGGGGAAGGGCCCAGGCCATCAGTTGCCAGGAAACAGGGTGTCGGCCATTCTCTGTGTCCAGACCCCTGCACACACCTGCCCTCTAGGGCTCTGCAATGATCATACACCCTTACCCCACCACCTAGATACTTAAGAACTGCATAGGGGAAACTGAGGCACCCCCACAATATTCGGAGGAAACATTAAGAACAGGCCCACTTCGTCACATCTCTCCCCCCTTCGAGATTGAACTGAGCGGGGTCACTTTACCCGGTGACCTGGGGAAGTTCGAAGCCACCAATGTTCCCATGGATGCCCCAGCATCTCTCCCATTCCTTGGTAGGAGTTACACCAGGCCCTTCCAGTTTCACGCCCTCCCTTAGGTCGGGGGTGGTCGATAGCACTAGCAGGCTGCATGTGGGAAGGTTTCTGCAGCCCATGCCCTTTGGCCACCCCAAAAACCCAGGGGGTCAAACTGGGATTGGGTTTTCTCCCAGAGCTCCAGTCTGGAGGGCTGCAATTCGGGCTCTCTTGGTTAAGGGCCCCCATCTTGACCTGGGCCACATACTGTTCACTTACAGAACTAGCATGGAGACATCCCTTTCTCCACAACCTTGTCTCCCCAACAAGCTGGCCAAACACAGCCACTTGGTTATAGGACGGTATACCTTTCTTAACAGCTTTCACTCCATCTGAGACCTTCTCAAAGCTCTCCACACTGGATCTTTCAACAGCAAGTCAGTGGATCCATTCACAACAGAAAATTTCTGGCTGTTAGGAACTGAAACTTTCTTGATTAAATCACTTTCACACCCTTCAGTTGCAGTAAACTGCTTGCAAAGACTCCATGAGGATTCCTTTCCCAAGGGCTTTTCTATGCAAAAATTCACCCCTCCCAGAAATTCTGCTCTTACCCTCTTTACCTAGGGCTTGCTCTAGGGGAACACTTTCCTGAGCAACTACAGACTCTTTCTGGGTCCCCTTACATCCAGAATCACCTCTGGCCCATCAGGCGGATTCCTACACAATCCCCTTTCAGGCAAACTTACAGACTTCCTAGATAAAAGGTTAGAAGCCTTCTCCTTCCCTTTGCCACACACAAGTTCAGGAATCTTTTCCTCCTTGCTACAGGTTTCCACACCCTCAGTAGGTAACACAATCACACACCTTCATGCTCTCCTTGTGCCCTGGCTAGGATCTCACCCTGATTAGACAGAGTTGCTCCACCCTTTCCAACAACACACTAGCAACAGGCAAAATACAAGCACCAGAATTGTCTGGTCTCTGGGATTTTACATAGACCCTAACTGGATGCGACCTAGTTACAGGGCCATTCTCCCGAGCAGACAGAAACTTAGGACCCTTCCCTTCCTGGGCTTTAGCTGAATCCAGAACCAGCTCTGAGACAACTGCACGACCCTCAACCATCACAGGCTGAAAGGCCCCTTCTGTCTGCTCCACAGACCAAGAAGAGCCGGACACACTTCCTCCTTTACCAGACACACAGGTTGGGATCTCTTTCCCCTTGTCCCAGCACACAAGGCTGGTCACAGACAACTGCTTGGAGATCAGGGTAGCTCCCTCCATAGGCAAGTCAATACCCCTGACAGACAGAGACCCATTTCCTTCACTGTCCCAATTCTCCACCCAGCTAACAGGTAAGGTCCAGGGACACTCATCTTCCACTCTCCTCGCCTTCCCACCCTGCTGACTAGACACAGCCATCAGCTCACAAGGCTGCCTAGGCTCATCCAAACTTTCCTTACCAAGCACCTTGCCACTCCCCACAGATCCCCTGCCCTGCCTGTGTCTCCCCCCACTCAGCTGGGGTCTCAGCTCCCACTGTGCTCAGCGCTGCCCTTGCTGTCCCAGTGGGGGCAGGCCACTGCTTTCCTCAATGCATCAGAGCCAGCGAGAGTCCCCACTCTTGTGTGCAAGGGGGCAGGGAGCATCTCTCTGTCCCACCCAGCCCCAGGGGTCTGGTTACAGGCAGGCAGGTAGCCTGAGCCTAGCGGCTCCTCCCTGCTGCCAGCCAGGTCATCTGCATTTTCACTGACCATTCCCTCTCTGCCGATTGGTTCCCTGGATTCAAATTCAAACCCTTGGCAGTTACAGGAACAGGGCCTGGATCCTGTCCCAAAGAGACACAGTCACCCCACAACAGGGTCTCGCAGCTGGTGTCCTGGAGCACCCCAACGACCAGCCAGCCCCACCCCTCCTGGGTCTGCACGGGGATCTGGGCCATAGGCAGGGCGAGGGGCTTCGTCCCTGGGACCCTCACCCAGCTCACACAGCCCCTCAGCATCTGAGGCTGCACCACCCGGGGCCTGACACCAGTTCTCTCTGTCCCAGGATCTCGCCACCCCAGGAATGTCTCCCCATTGACCATCCCCTTCCGCTCCCACTGGGGGTCCGAGGGGCCTGGCCCCAGGAAACTCCACACAGACATATAGGTCAGGAGTGGGAGCGTGTCCACCTCCCCACCCATCTGGCTGATGGAGTCTGTGGCCTTGGGACCCAGCAAGGGAGCTAGACACCGGGGCTTTTCCGCAGGGTCCCCCTGGTTCAAATCGCCAGCCTGCTCAAAGGCAGTGAGGTGGGCATCCACACACCCCCCCTCCTTAACTAGGGGCAGCAATTTAGTCTCGAGGTTCCCTGCGGAACTGGCCCCCCGGGGTCTATCCCCACTCACCCTGGGGAGGTCCCCTAGGCCTCTCCGCTCCCCCACTGCCAGTTCATGCTGCTGCTGCTTCTGCAGCTCTTTCTCGGGCTCTTGCTGTCTCCCACGGTCCTCTTGCTCTCTCGGACTCAGCTCCAATCCCGTCCGTCTCGATCCCCCGATGGGGAACCCGATCGTGAAGACCCTCGTCTGGTTGGGGACAGGAGTCTTGGGGATGCCTGGCTCCCACTCCAGCTGCTCCCAGATCCTGCTATAGCCCCAGTTGGGGTCAGGAATCTGTTCCTTAGAGCGGTCATCCTCCTCCAGCTGCACGATTAACTCTGCTTTGGTGAACTTTCCAAAGTCAACCCTCTCTTTCTGCACAGGGTTACAATGTCCTTCTTAAGGAGACAGTGACAGGCCGTCACTCCGCTCTTCCCAAGTTGTTGTGGACTCACAGGCCCGTGTGTTCTCAGCTCCCCACGGTTTCCAGGGAGAACCCCTAGTGTGCCAGCCCTTCTCAAGGTCACCACCTCTTTGCCAGGGTCGAGCTGCAGACTCCTCCGCCCCTTGGACTGCTCGCTGCAATCCCCAGGGGAACCCTGTTACTGCAAAAGTCCTTCTCTCTCCCTGGGCCAAGCTGCAGGCTCCTCTGCCCCTGAGACTGCTCACTGCAGTCCCCAGGGGGACCCCATTACTGCACAGTCCTTCTCGCTGGTCACACACTCCCAGGGGTTAACCGCCCCCCGAAACCGCTCCTCTCTGAGTCTTCAGCACGTCTGGTCCTCGTCAATCCCCCTGCGTGTTACTGCTCCCCAGTCACTTACTGCAGGAAGCGCCGTCCACGGGGTACAGTACATCCCACCGCTGCCACCAGTTGTCACGGAGTCCCTGGGCGATGCTCTGGAACTGCTCCCCATGAAGCCAGTCAGGACTCTGGGGCAGTCGCCTTTCTGTGAGCAGCCTGTCTTCAGGACACACAGCTCACGCAGCTTCCACCTTCCTGGGTCTGACCTCGGAGCATTCAGCATCCTCTGCCCCTCTGTGTGCTTCCCACAGCCAGTCCGCTCAGGCGGGGTCCTGGGGAAGCCAGAGGGTCCGGCACCCCAACTCCGCAGTCAGACGTGACTCTCAGCCAGCCAGTAAAACAGAAGGTTTATTAGACGACAGGAACATGGTCTAAAACAGAGCTTGCAGGTGCAGAGAACAGGACCCCTCAGCTGGGTCCATTTTGGGGGGCAGTGAGCCAGACAACCCCGTCTGCCCTTCACTCCATGTCCCAGCCAGCCCCCAACTGAAACTCCCTCCCGCCCCTCCTCCTCTGGGCTTTGTTCCTTTCCTGGGCCAGGTGGTCACCTGATTCCTTTGTTCTCCAACCCTTCAGCTCTCACCTTGCAGGGGGGGAAGGGCCCAGGCCATCAGTTGCCAGGAAACAGGGTGTCGGCCATTCTCTGTGTCCAGACCCCTGCACACACCTGCCCTCTAGGGCTCTGCAATGATCATACACCCTTACCCCACCACCTAGATACTTAAGAACTGCATAGGGGAAACTGAGGCACCCCCACAATATTCGGAGGAAACATTAAGAACAGGCCCACTTCGTCACAGTCTCGCCTTAGTTTTTTAATTCACTGACTTCACCGAGTTTCATGTGGACTGTGCCTGGGTGGTGCGTGGAGGTCAGTGGAGTTACCTGGGCACACCACGGGCTGCACTGATCGCTGTTCTTACACTTCCTTTCACACACCGCTGTCACCAGAGGATTACACAGACAGCCCAGGGCCCGCCTAGGAACCCAGGAGAGGCTGCAGGGCTGCAACAGGGCTGAAGGCCGTTGTTTTCCATTCCGGTCCCTGTGAAATGATCCTTCTCTTTTCCGGAGGAGGGGCTCGACTGCTTTGCTCTCCAGAGTATCTCCCCCCACACAGTCTCCCAGCGCCGGAGCAGCCTTGCGTGAGGCGCACAGAAGCGGCCCGGGCAGCGGCACGTTCCCTCCGTTCAGGGTCTGGTTTCTGAACGCTGCTGCTACATTGGTTTTAAAGAGGGGAACGAAGGAGCGGCTGCAGGGTGTGTAACAAGCCACCCACTCTGCCAAGGGCATCTCAGAATCACACTCTGGAGCTTCCCCATAACTGCAGGGCCTGTGGTTAGCTCCCTCCTCCCTCCTTTGGCTCCGGTCACTTTTTTCCTAGTGGGGGGGGGGAATCAATGTTTCCTTCTTTTGTTTCCTCCTTTCTCCCTCGCTCACACTCCCCCCCCCAGCGCCAAGCAACAGATTATTGCAAATTCCTCCCACCCCTCCTTGCGAATGCCCCTTTGATCCGCCTTCCCCTTCCAGCCCTCCCTCGCTCCCAGGCTGACAAACGCGCACGTGCCCGGGGTACACCCAGCCAGGGGGGGCCGGGGGCTGCGTGTTTGCAGCCAGCGAGGAGCCATTCGGCAGCTGACGCCGAGGCAGCCTGGCTCCCCATGTGAGCCGCTCGCCCAGCCCGGCTCTCTCCCGCCCCGCGCACACGCAGGGCTCCGGCCCGGGGGCTTCTGCTCACGGGAGAGGCGGCAGCAGCGGAGCCCCCCACGGTCCCGCCCCGGATTCGGTCGGGGACTGGAGGTAAAGGGCGGGGAGCCCGGGGAAGTTTCCCCGCGGGTTCTGGGCGCCCGGCGGTGGGGCGGGAGCTGGGACGGCTCCGCCCGCGCGTCCCCCGGTTCGCTGCTGTTCTCCGGCCCGGTGCTTCGGGAGCCGGCCGGCGGCGGCGGGGCAGGCAGTGGGGCGGGGCAGGCAGTGGGGTTTTTGCCTGGAGAAGGCGCCGCACGCCCAGACCTCGGGGCGGGGGCCGCGCAGGGAGCTGGGGGCGCCGGGCTCTGCGCCCCCGTTCATGGGCTGAGCCCTAAAGCCAGCGGGGGGGTCCGAGCCGCCACCCCCAGGGCGCCGCGTTCGGGGGGCTGGTGGGGGGGAGGAGGGTTCCTGGGGATTCTAAGTGGGGAGCCCCCCCGGGTTCCGGAGCCCGCTGGGCGGGGGTGGGGAGCCCCCCCCCGGTTCCAGACCCGGTTCCGGAGCCCGCTGGGCGGGGGTGGGGAGCCCCCCCCCCGGTTCCAGACCCGGTTCCGGAGCCCGCTGGGCGGGGTCAGTCCAAACCCATCTCCCCTGGCTGGTATTTTAGCTTACATGTAAGCAAGCCCCCCGGCCCCATCGGGGTCTCCCCCGCCCACCATGGTCTGTCTGTCCCGGGGGGCAGCTGGTCCGGGACCCAGCCCCCCATGGCGGATTGTCAAGCAAACTCTGGAGCCGCGGCTGTTTACAAGTGGCGGGGAGGCGGCTGGCTGGCGCGGTCCGGCTGCCGGCGACGTGACCTGGGAGTTAACTAGGAGCAGCCAGGGCCCTGCTGGCCATGTGTCCTGCCCCAACACCCCGGCCCCCACTTCCCCGCAGCCCCCCCCCCCATTTACAGCTCCTGCCCCCAGCAGGCAGCCTGCCCCTCCCTAGCCCCCCCCCCCCCCCGTCCAGCCTGCAGATTAGCCCCCCATGCTCCCTCCCACCAGGGATTCACCCCTGCCCCCAGTGGGCAGAGCTCCAGTTCCCCCTTTGGGAGGCATGGGGGGCATGCATTGTGCCCCCTACCCCTGGTTGGGAGTTGGGGGGCATGCCTGGGAGGCGTGCATCCCTCCTGCTGCCCCCCTTGTCTGCAGGGCAATGCTTTGTCGGCAGCTTGGCCTGGGCTGGCACAGGAGGGCGCCGGGTGCTTGGAGCAGGCAGCCTGCCGGAGCCCCATTGTTCACGGTGCGTCCCCCTGGCTGCCGCCCACCCAGCTACTTGTTGGCGCTGCGTGTGCACATGTCTCTGTCTCTTCTTTTCATTGTGAGTCCTTCCATTCCAGGCACGTGACCTGCCTTGTCGTTTCCATGCCAACTCCCTGGTACCACGATTCCCCCTCTCTCACATGGTTGCCTGGATACCAGTTATCCCTGCCTGGTATGGAAGGATGCTCTTGTCTTGCCTGCTCCCCTTCTCCCCTCTTTCACAGGCAGCCACACAAGCGTGTGGACACCCGTACAATCCAAGGGCAGAGATACCTTAAAGATATCAGTGCTAGGTGGATAGTCTCACAGGCATCCTCTAGTGCACACGTACAGTGTGATCCGCTTCCACGCACTCATACGAGCATGCACACACAGTCACTCTCACAAACACAGGCACCGTCTTGCACAGTCTCTCACACACACACCCACATCTTGCATACTCATCCAGACATATGCACAGACAGCCTCACACGTGCACACACCTCTTCTCACAGTCACAGACATCACTTACACACCCTCACTTCCACTCACACACACCTTCCCATACGCACAGCCACATCTGGAAAGCAGTCCTTTTAATCTGATTTTAAAAAAAAAAGTCCCCCTTGTCTAATTGGGTGTTGTAATGCCCGTGGATTTGGAGAAGAGCAAAGGAGCATCTAGTTGTGTATATCAAAATGTTTTGAAATACATTTTCTTATGTTATTAAATATTTTAATGAAGCTGCAGTAATATAAACAAATCAAACACTTTATCCCACAGAGGAAAAGGGAGGCCCTATCTATCTCTAGCTACATCTTTAATTAAAGAGTCCTGAAAATTGTATCTCTGAATCCATCCAATAGAGTTCAGATCCGGAAGGAGTGATTTGCAGGAGGGGCAGTGACAGGTGGCATATCTGGGTCTGTATAAGCTTTACAACGTGAAAGAGCAGCCTCTGAAGAAATGTTTTCAAAGCTGCATAAGGATTGTGACTTTTGTTAGCTTCCCTTGCACCATTTCAATGTTGTTTTGAGGTGTCATTGTGCCCCCGTTCTCAACACGACATGAAATTTCTACTCCTGTAGGTTGTTTTCACTAGCACCTAACTCTGTGTTGAAAACAAAAAGAAAACCTTATTAAACAGAGGGAAACTCCCGAGAATTAAATTCCTTTTCCCATATGGAAAATGTTTCTGCAGAAATACTGTGTGGCTTTGAGTCGAGCAGCAGGGGAACAGCAGCTGCGGAATGACAGATAACATTTTAGATCCAGAGCTGTTCTAGACGCTGCAAACCAAGGACAGAAGTTGCTAATTCCAGGCTGAGGGGAAATGTATAAAACAACATTCGTGTTACAATGTCCTCTGTAGACTCTCTGAGGAGTCTGACTGATGTGGGGTGAGTTGGTTGCCATCTTGTTGCTATGAGATTTTTGTTTTACTTTTACGTTTTATTTACATGTGATTGCTTGACACATGCCGGCCTGGATAAAATATCGCACATAGATGTGAATTTGTCAGTAGTTTAAACTTCTGTAGTGGGGACAACTTTCATGGGGGATAAGTCCATCAATGACTATTAGCCAGGATGGGCAGGGATGCAAAACCATGCTCTGAAGTGTCCCTAGGCTCTGTTTTCCAAAAGCTGGGAATGGGCGACAGGCGACGGATAACTTGATGATTACCTGTTCTGTTCATTCCCTCTGAAGCACCTGGCATTGGCTGCTGGGCTACATGGGCCATTGGTCTGACCCAGTATGGCTGTTCTTATGTTCTTAAATATGTCAAAGTAGAAACTTAAATCTGTTCCTCTCACATGTTTGCCCTCGAGGTGTTTCTTTCCATAATTGCAAATTATCCAAGGACTGGTCCTGGCACTTGCTCAGGCTGGGGTGCAGAGTGCTACTCCCGAGGGCATTCTGTGCCAAAAAATAAAAATTCTGTGCACAGTATTTTAAAATTCTGTAAAATTCTGCAAATTGTATTTGTCAAATAAATGTGGAGGATCCACCATGGCATTGGGGACCACAGGCCACTGGATGAACAGAGATGGGAGATCACTGTGCAGCTCCCACCAGGACACGGACTCAGCAGTGAGGCTGCACCCATCTCTGACACAGCGCAAGGACCTGACCTGCCCCAGAAACATTCCAGGGCCCTGCTGCTCCGTGCCAGGTGCAAGGCAGGATCCAAGTCCGGAGGGTGTTAATGTGGGGGGATCCAGGTGTTGGTTGAGAGGGTTCTGTGTGGCGCAATCTGGGTGCAGGCGGCTCAGTGAGGGGTTTGGGTGTGGGGGGAGATCTGGATGCACAGGGGCTTGTTTGGGGGTTCTGGGTGCAACAGTAATGGGACTGTGCAGCAGGTTCACATGAAGGTGGTTGGGAATCAGTGGGTGGGAGGGTCTGGGTGTGGGGGGGGTTAGAGCTTGGCTGGGTGTGGAGGACTCAGTGGGGGGTCCAGATGCTGGGGGAGTGGGGTGGGGATCCATGTGCAGCTGGTTGGGGCTCGGTTGGGTGGGAGTCTGGGTGTGGGTGGCTTGTTGGAGTGGTCCAGGTGCAGGGGGAGTGGGGCTCATCGGCAGGGGGGGGTGTTTCTGAGTGTGGAGGGTGAGGCTCGGCGGGAGGGTCTGAGTATGTGTGGGTCTGGATGCATGGGGGTTGGGTGCATGGGGAGCAGTTCCCTGTACAGGGATTCCTCCTCCTTCAGCTGAGGAGCGATGGGTGTATTTGCATAAGATAGTCATTACAGTGGTCTCAGTAGGTGTTGAACAAATGAATAGAGGGAACGTTTATGAAAAAAACCTAAACAGAATCTCCATTCCCAGCAGCAAACTGTACAATGTATTGGTTTGGCTTCGTCGAGAGGCTTTTATTTGTCCCGCTCACCTCCCTCACAGCGGACGCTGTTAGTTCCCAGCCTGGCTTGCTCCACGCAGCCTGCCGTTAGCGCAGCGATAATCCCATTTGAGATACTCCTCAGAGAAAGGACTAGCTTGGCTGTTTTCGATCTGCCAGGTTCTATGTTATGAGATGCACGTCATGTTGACGAGCTGAGGACTGAGGGCCAAGACAAATACCTCCAAACTGATTTGGCAACCATTCCTTGATGTGTTAAGACATGACTGCCTGGAGCCAGGGAAAAAACCTGCAGAAGACTTGTTTTGTGTGATCTTATTAGTAAAGGAAAGGGCTTAGGGCCAGGGGAGGAGGAACAGAGCCTCGTAATTTTGTCGAGTGTGATCTGTGATCATTCTTGTGATCTCATTGTTCTTGATTGACCCTAATCACGAGTGATCCATGTGGCTTCTGGCCTTTTGGTGGCATCTGAGATTAGATCACTCAGTGGAAGCCTGGATTGAGGTTTGGATCCCCGGGTCTCCTGAAAAGCACTAGGATTCCTTTGAGCATCTTCTGCTTTTGGCAGAGATCCCAAGCCTGCAAGTGACAAATTAATCTTAGCAAAAGCTGTCTTGTGTCTCCCATCCTACCAGCATATGAATCAGCACAGACCTGGAAAGTCTTGCATGTTACAAGGGTGTAGGCTGGAAATCTATCATGTAGGAACAAGAGACATAATAACAACAATTGCATGAGAAGCCAAATTGATGCTGACGTGAAATGGCAGAAGAGCACATTATACGCATAGCTGCAAATGTCCATTCTTACACGTACACTCGTACTTCCTTCAGGCAACTGAACAGACCTGTCAAGGGCTCTGGGGCTTTGCAGGGAAATTGGAGATTTTAACTCGGTCTGAGTTTTGGGAGATGTCCCGAGGACACTTGAAGGAAGAAGGCGACTGCCCAGCGTTAATTCTGATGGCTGAGACTTGATGGGCTGATCTATTTGAAACAATTAAAAATAAGCATTTAAATTTTTTTTCAAGTCTCTTACAAATCACCCATCTTGTTCTTGAGGAGTTTTCAGTGTTGTTGAGGGGCTGATCAACCTGCAGAAGAGATTGTGTTTGTCTGTCTGGCTTTCACCCTCCCCACCTCAGTAATATGAGGAGAATGAAAAATTACAAGGGGGGATTTTTGAAGAGAAACAAGGAAATGGGGAGAGAGATTCATGACTTTCATTATGTTCTGTATAGGGCGGTTCTGAGGGTGGCATGTAGGTTAGAGGTACAGAGAGCGCAGTGACCCCGTGATCATAAAGTTGAAAATATCTGCCTGCCTTGGGTGTGGCTGTGTGAGAGGTGGGGTAGCGTGTGTGTGTGAATTCTGGCTGCTGTCCCATGTAGGCAGCGTTTACATGTGCTCTGCCCTGACTTTGCATTGGTGCAGATGATGGCTCCCATGCCATGTGCTGGGATGAGAGCCCCATTGCTAGGTGGCCATGAACAGCTGAGCTGCAGGAAGGACATTGCAGACATAACACATGTCCTCCCCTCCTGCTCCCCATTAGCCCTCTGCTGCCACACAGCATCTGCTAGCAGATGCTAAGTAGTGATTTCCCCTCCGGCTGGGGAAGATTGTGCAGCGTGGAGATAACCTCTCGCTAGTGCTGTCCTCTCCCTGAGAGATGAAGGGTGACTGGGAACTGGAGGTTTACCTGTACAGGCAGCTAGTCCTTCTCTGAGAGCCAGCCCGAGCCTACGTGCATCGCATGGAGTGACACGTGTCAACAATGCCACTGAAAACATTAACAGTGTATTTATCACTTGGGTTATGGCAACACCCAGAAGCCCCAGCTGAGATCAGGGCCCCTGGGCCCTATGCGCTATGTAGACAACCCCTGCTCTAAAGCTCTTACAAAGGCAGGACTGTTATCCCTATTTTACAGTTGGGAGAGAGGCGCAGAGAAGACTGTGACTTGTGCAAGGTCACCCAGCGGGTTAAGGGCAGGAATCGAACCCAGATCTCCTGAGTCCCAGTCCAGTACCGCTCACAAGGCCACGTGCATCCTTCCACACCCTGTTGCTTTGTGAGCTGGGGGCCGAGTTTGAGAGCGGATAAATTCCAGGCCTGGTGACTGTGTGGTTCAGCATGTTGAGGGAGCCAGGCCTCTGCCAAGTAAACAGCCAGCGGTGGTTACTGTGCATTGGTGCCTCCCGCTCTAAAGCCAGGGTGAAAGCAAGGCTGCCCAGGCTGGAGGGTGGTAGGTCCCTACGTAGCTGGCCAGGGCCCTGCACTGCACCAAGGGGAGGGGCTCCTGCAAATGTCAGATTTGAAGAAAATTCAAGTGGGG